CTACATATAGTCAGAGGCACACCCCAACTTTGCATTCCAGGGTAGAAGCTGAGCTGTGGAGTGAAGTACAGGTTCAGCTGTTCATGAGCTAGGATCACACCTGCCAAACTGGGGTAGTATTGCCAACTTTTCCGATCCGCCCTCTGGCTGTGCCTTTAGAAACAGCTTGATGTGCAAGCTGTTACTGCTGGTAACTTCCAGTCACATCCTGCCTTTTTTCCTCTTGCAAGGGACCCGAAGTGGCTTCCAAAGGTCTTGTCCCCTCCATGTTATCCTCAGAACCACCACCCTGTGAAGTAGCTTGGCCTGAGGGTCAGCAACCAGCCCAAAGCCTTCCAGGGAGCTTCGCAGCTCCAGGGGGACAAGGACCCAGAGGTGCAAAGTCCCAGTCCATCCCTCTGCCCACCGTGTCACCATATCCATCTCAGCAAGGGGTGGCATAGAAATGTTCTAATAATAATAATAATACTGCCAGTTGCTGCCCGCAGTGGATGCTTCCTGGGAGTTGTGGAACATCTTTCTGCCCAACAGCCATAGGGCAGTGCCCTAAAGCAGCTTGTGCAGGGACAGGGAGAAACCGAGTGTTGAAGGAAAACCTTTCGCTCTGTCCCAGGACTTTTAAAGGTTGGCAGGATCCTTATGCTTGCTCAGGATTCTTCAAGGCAGAGGAGCCTTCCTTTTCCTGGCCAGCTTGCAACCCTAAACTTGCATCCTTTCAAGTCATTGCTGCCCCTATATCTATCCCTAATGGAATGGGATCAATAGATGGACAGGCAGCTGTTAATGGGTGGTGGAAAGACACCTTCATTTTGCACCTGCTCCTCTAGCACCTCCAGGATCACTTACGAGCCCTGCTGCTTCTGTCCTCCACCTGTGGCTTAAAAAGCTCTCGCTTTCAATCAAGCCAAACACCTGCTGATTGGTTTCCCCCTCTTTGGTCTTCAAAACCACAAGAGTTGTAACCAAAGTTGCAGGAATGGACAGAGAGCTGCTAGTGTGGAAAAGCTTTCAAAGGGGAGAAAAAAAGCATGTATTTTTCAAAAGGCACACTTGAAACCTTTCTGTGCCCTTTCTTCCCATTGGACTTGCTTATTTCCAAATTTTACAAATCTATGATCAGATGTTTCTCATACTCCTTATTTATTTAAAAGTAAAATATTTGTTTATTTCTGTACCACCCCATAGCCAAAGCTCTCTGTGCAGCTGACAGTAATAGATCTGAACTCTGTATGGGTTGTATGAAGAAACTGAGGACAGATGCGACTGACCAATTGTCAGGGCTAGTCAATTGCCACAAAAATGGCATAATTTATGGCACCTTAGAGACTAGTTTATGTTGGTGGAAGATTTTGCATTAACTGGACAATGTCCCAACCCCCCCCCTTCATGTTAAAATGAGGGTGATAGTTTGTCAGCTGCTGCAAGGTTCCCCACATGTGAATATCCTGGGAAGAAAAGACTCCTGGCTGATGAGAACAGCTTCTGGAAGCCTGTGCTGTCCACCGACACGGACGGGGCTTCAGCCATGAGCAACGTGACGCGTTGCATGTCGAGACACCTGCAGGGCACCAGCTTGGGGCATGCTGTGCCATAAAACTCCCTGAGCGGTTCCCTTATCTCATGCATTGGCTAAGGTAGCCAAGTTACTAATGGTCCAGAAGGCTTCTGTATTATATCGGCCCTTTTCCAGGAAAGAACTCGAAAGAGCCTACCTAACCCTCTTCCTCTCCATTTTATCTTCACAACAACCTTGTGAGGTGGGTTGGGCTACAGAGTCAGAGACCAGCCCAATGGTATGTCCAGTGTAGCTCATGGCACAGATCTCTTGAGTCCTGGTCCAGGACTCTAACCAAAATGCTTTCCCTGCTCCCTCCTTCCAGGAAGGTGGATTCAGGGTGTGCCTCCTTGGGCATTAGAAGGGCGAGAACATAAACTGGATCGGACCAGGATCCCTCTAGCCCAGTGTTCTGTTCTCAGTGGCCAGCCAGCTGCCCACAGGGTCCCTGCAGCAGCCCAGCACCCTCCCCCTTCCCTTGCATCCTTGGCAGCGTCTCCTGCCTGCAGCCTGGTGCATTCAACGCAACTGCAGGAAGAATGCATTGCAGGAGGCAGCACCTAGGTCTGGGCAAGAGAGCACCTCGCATCCTTGAGATCCAGGGAATAAAAGCAGGCTCTGGCAGGCCCTTCTTTAGTGGACTTGCTTCACCTTTCTACAGCCTGGTCCAGCTTCCAAGGCTTCTTTGGGTTTGTGAGCTTTCAACAGACATGACTTCACTTTTGTACTACTTCTGTCACCATGAGGGCTAGTCACTTACTCTTAATAGTGAAGGATACAACTTAGTCTGCTAACCTCAGCACTCCATTGTAAATTCTGCAAGTTATGTTCATGTGCACGAGATGGGAGATCTTTAAACTGTTCTCCAAAGCTTCACCCCTACAATGATGGTGGGAAAACTGATTAGTTGACGTTCTAGGGCCCAGTCCTAGGTATTTCTAGACAGAAAAAAGCCCTACAGTTCCTGGAATTTCCCACCCAGTGAGATCAGCGGAATGATGGTGCTGGCTGAGAGCTCCAGGTGCCTTGATGGACAGCAGCAACTAGGGCTTGACTGGAGCAGCTGCAGGTGCTGGCCAGCGGGCTTGGAGGTTGCCAAGAATGATAAAGGGATGGAGCCCAGCATGTCTGGAGGGCAGCGGTTTGGGAGGGGTTGAGCTGCCCTGCCTGACCCACCTGGAAAGCAAGTCGGCTTTGAGGCTTGAGGGGTGGCTTTCCAAAACCTGAAATTCCTCATGGAACAAATCTCACTGGATTTTTAGAACTGGGCATAATTGCAGGCTGGGTGTTTGTGTGCGATCCAAACATTATGGGTAAAGCACTTGGTCAGTTAAGGCCTCGCTTGTCTGACCTCCTTTGCCTTATCTTTGCTCCCCTCTAAACCTTAAATTGTAAGAGCTTTGGAGCAGAAGGCCCCATGGCTCCCAAGCCCCGTGTGCACTGAATGGCCTCAGGCAATAACCTGTTACGATGAGATTACATTAATCCCCCACCTTTCTTTCTCTTAGAAGGAACCAAAGGCAGCTTCTCCTCCTCACAACAACCCTGTGAGGTAGGCTAGGCTGAGAATGCATGATGGACCCAGGGTCACCCTGTGAGCCTTGTGACTGAGTGGGCACTCAGGCCCCCAGGGCCACCGTCCTGCACTCTCGCCACTGCTGTGATGTGCCCTCAAGTGCCCTCCAACTTACGGTGGCCCTGCGATCGAAAGACCTCGAAAATGTCCGGTCCAGGGCAGCTCCATTTGGCTCTTCTGGGTCGTGGTGCACCAAACGCACTGTCCTCGGTTCCCGCACAGACCTTTGTAAAAGGCACAGCATGCGCCCGTGCTGTGGGAGGGGCGAGTCCTTCCCGCCCCACTCACAAGCAGCTCTGCAGTGATTCAAGCGGTGCTGAGCATGGATCACGGATGGGCCAGCTTTCCCCAGCCTAGCTTCCCTCCAGCTGTGTTGGGCGACATCATCCCCCGGCCACCATCATGTTGGCCGGGGCTGATGAGTGCTGTAGTCCAGTATAGGGATGCGAAGATCAGGCCGGAGTCCAGCCCTCTTGGGCCTGCCGGACTTCCTTCCCATGCTCAGCCCTGACCAGGAAGCGAGCTGAGCCCAGAGCAAGTCCATGAACGGTCAGGAATGCCAGCGGCTTCTTTCTGCAAAGCACATATGGTGCAGGATCCTCTGCACAAACACGCACAGCTTCACAGCCGTGGCGGGGAAGCAAATTCCACCTGCCTGGTGGGCGCTCAGGGAGTTTGCACGCACGCCAGCCTGGCAGACTCCTGGCCTCGTTTCCTGGCTGGACACCCACTTGGCACAAGGCAGACTCAGGGCAAACAGAAAGGAGGCCAGCGTCCAGGGAGCTAAGCCAGCGAAACCCAACGGGTTCCCCCCTGCAAACTAGGTTCCTTATGCATCGCTAGTCCCGCACATATGCCAGGTGTCAGCTGGGGCGGGGGGGCTGGTGCAGACTTCAAAGGATAACCTTGAGGCGGCAGAGCTTTATTTGGGAGATTCTTAAAACAGGTAGAGTGAACGACAGGCTAACCCTTGTTAGTCAGGCGTTTATCTTGAACAGCTGCAATTAGGGTGGGGGGAAATGCATGGTTTTGTGAGCTGGCTTACGGCCTCGCATGATCAGGGCTACTTGGGCTGGTCATTTCGAAGAAGCCTCCCCTCAGTGAGGATTGCCACGTGCGTGCATCCACCCACCTTCCTCTCTGCAGGCGGTCCAATTCCAGTCATCTTTTCCTAGGCCTGCTAGTCTCCTGATGTTTGGAATTATAATTCCCATCAGTCCCAGCCAGTTTGGCCAATAGTTTGGGTGTTGTACACTACCATCTTGCAGCAACCCAAAAGGGCCTTTTTGGTGGTTGCCCCCGCCTTACGAAGTGCCTGCCCAGCCTGGCCATCGGGAGCTGCCAGTGGCTGCCTGCCTCAGCTGCCCATATCTTTCTCCAAGCTTTTCCCACGTGAATGTGCCACCCAGTCTGTTTGTTTGTAATGGTGGCACGATATTGGTTTCGATGTTTAATCCATGTCTTGCTATTTTCTGTAAATGCTTTAGCCATGAATATACATTTTAATGCATAGCGTGTTTTTTAATATATTTAATCCTCCTAAATGGCTTCAGTGTATTTTTATCTATTGTTGAAAGTATATTGAACTGTCAGATAATAACCCGTGATGGGACATGTAGTCCAGACATCCAGAACTGAGCCAGTTGCCCGCCCATGCCAGAGGCCTTGACCAGCGGTCTTCTCTCCGGGTCCTGTCAGCTGCCTGCCTCTGAAGCGCAGGGATGGATCTTGGTGGTGGAGGTGCCCCTTCTCTCATTCCAGCGCAGTCCCTTAGTGGCTTGCCCTTCCAGTGGTGCTGGGCCTGTAGGACTTTGCGAAGGGACCGTGCTTCCGCGTGTAATGCCCTTTTTCTGCTCTCCCTAGCCCAAGATGGGTGACTGGGGCTTCCTGGAAAAGCTTCTGGACCAGGTGCAGGAGCATTCGACGGTAATCGGCAAGATCTGGCTGACGGTGCTGTTCATCTTCCGTATCTTGATCCTGGGCCTCGCGGGGGAGTCCGTGTGGGGGGACGAGCAGTCGGACTTCGTGTGCAACACCAAGCAGCCGGGCTGCCCCAACGTTTGTTACGACCGGGCCTTCCCCATTTCCCATGTCCGCTACTGGGTGCTGCAGTTCCTCTTTGTCAGCACACCCACCCTGGTCTACCTGGGGCATGTCATCTACCTTTCCCGGCAGGAGGAGAAGCTGAAGGAACGGGAGAGTGAGCTCCGAGCCCTGCAGTCCAAGGATTACAAGGCAGCCGTGATGCTGATGGCCGTGGAGAAGAAAATTGCCAAGATCTGTGTGGCAGAAGATGGGAGGATAAAAATCCGGGGACCTCTGATGTGGACCTACATCATCAGCGTGGTGTTCAAGTCCATCTTTGAGGCCGGCTTCCTTCTAGGCCAGTGGTACCTGTATGGCTTTGTCATGAGCCCCGTCTTTGTGTGCGAAGGGTCCCCCTGCCCGCACCGCGTGGACTGCTTTATGTCCCGTCCCACTGAAAAAACCATCTTCATCCTCTTCATGTTGGTGGTGGGCTTGATTTCCCTCGTGCTCAACCTTCTGGAGCTCTTCCATCTGTGCTGCAAGGGCCTGCTGCACCGTGTGAAGGAGAGCGACTGCTGTTCTCCCTCCTCAGCTCCCCCTCTGCCCTGCAAGGCCGACGGCTACCCCACCAAGCTCTGCAGAACGTCTGCTGAGTCTTACCCGGACAAATCCTACTTCTATCTCCCCATGGCTGAGGGGCTTTCCCCACCTTACCAGGCCTACAACAAGCTTTCCAGTGAGCAGAACTGGGCCAACTTTAACACCGAGGAATCCTTGGCCCTGCAACACCAGCATAAGCCCCCCGATGTCTTTGCCACAGATGCCCCCAAAGTCCATCTCACTCAGGAAGTGCAGTCCAGTCGACCAAGTAGCAGCAATTCCAGAAAGCAGTATGTCTAGCCAACAGGCCACCAAAGTGCAAGCTGGACAGTGTTTTGCTTGATGACATCAGAAGGTTATCAAGCCAAGATTCCTCATGGGAATCTTTGGGCAACTGATTGCTTAACTCTGCTTGGTTACCACTGAAGGCAGAGGTGGTGCCTCATTGTTCTTGACAGTCATGCCTTGTTTTGGCCATGCTTTCCTCTGTGTGTGTGGAAGGCATGGCTTCCATGTGGAGGCAGGTTGACCTTGACCATTGGTCGACCATGGAAAAAGCCATGGAACCACCTCTCCCAAGCCGACGGGCACTGGGCAGTCACACAGGTGTGGTGCTAAATGTGGATTCTTGTGACAGTGTTGCTGGTCTCTTTGATTTTCAGATAAGAGGGCAGATGGTGGCAACTTGTTCCGGAGGTGGAGGTGCACACACAGGAAAAGCCTTTCTGCCAGTTCGACACTACACAAGCATTGGCTTCAGTTAAGAAAACTTGTAGCCTGGTGGGAAAAACACAAAGGAAAGTGGGGAGGTGGCTAAGGAGGGGAAAGAGACATCCGGGTCATAGATCAATTGAAACAGTCTCTTTTTTTATTTAATCTGCTGGTTTACAGGAAGTCTGAACAACTTAGCAACAGAAAACTGCAAACCAGATAGACTGGCCTTTTGGTCAGAGAAAAGTAATCTAAAAACAGATTTCCTGTTCCAAGCAGGCATTCAGTGCAACATCAGCTCCTGCTGAAGCAAAGATGAAATATGCATCCTCATTTAAATATAGCCCAGTTGCTGTGGTTCAGCTCCACTGAGCTATTTCTTGCATGCCTCATCCTTGGACATCGGCCCTGGAGCCAGCGTGCCATCTAAAGGAGTGGGAGAGCACTGTCTTCATCTTCATCTACGGATCTGTCAAGGCTTTGCCCTTTCTGCCTCAGTCACAGTTGGTGAACACTTGGTCTGCTTTCTGTCCTGATCTTCAGCTGCACAGTTGAATCAAAGAGGCCCAGTGGACGTGATTAACTGTCCCATCTCAGTCCACTCAGTTCCTCCCCAGTTCAGTGTTTGGGTCTTGCATGCCTCCCTACGAATACACAACCTACATAATTTTAGTTTGGTTTAAATTCTTTTAAGAATATCATCAGAACATATGCCCTGATTGGTGTTTCCAAAGGAAGGTAGACCTTAATGGACTACTCAGTGTTTGCGAGAAAGCATTTGGCCAAGACAACTTCCTATACGTGTTATTTCCGGATACAGGATAACGAAACTCATTTGGTGCTGTGCTCCCCCATTTCCTGGCCACCTCTGCATAGTTCAGAACTATGCCTTAAAGCACTGCTTACTGCATGTTTGAAATCTCTGTTTCATACACGTATCTTTATGTATACTTACTCCTTCCTGCTAATTTCTGTTCTAGAGTCTTGGTTTTGAATTTTTCCTTCGGTTAATTTATTGCCATTCTAAGGCGTATAGTCAACAAGCTGAGTCTGGATCTGTTCTTGACACAGCACGTTAAAGAGTCTGTTCTCCTGGATGGGAATGGAAAGGTAAAGCGGCACTTGGCCCGCTTGCTGTGTGGATAGAGCACTGTGCCTTTTTTCCGTCTCTCTCTGGATTAAATCAAAGGGGGTGGTGTTTTGTCATAAACTGTTTCCGTCAACGGTGATGGCACTCAAAAACCTCTCACCATTGTGGGAGAAATGCTTGTGAGGGCTGGCTCCCCTTGAATGTGGCGTCACATGTACAGGACCAAAAGAAAACTGGCTGGAAGACAATACTTCTAGCATACCTATTTCTTTCTCTCAGTCCCTGTTAAACTGTTCTTGATGACAAAGCTGTGAAAAGAAGATCTCTGCATGTAAAAATCTTTCTGCCTATTTGATGTACAGCAAACTGTGCAGAAGAATCTGCTTCTTGCCACCAATTCAGGCAAATTGTATCAACGCCAAAGTGCATATAGGAGCTCTGGGATGAAGGTTGATGGTATTAAATCTAATTTTGTTTTTTGTTATTTTCGGAATAAAAAAATGCACAAAAGTCTTGTGTATGAAAAGTTTCTTGAAGCCCTTATATTTATTATTTTTGTTTCTACAAATCTCAGGGTTTCTGTATTGTATTTATATATTATCATATTTAAATCCCACCTTTTCTCCTTTGAGGAGTGCAAGTGGGGAAATATTAACCTTCCTGCAAGGTTATTGCCCAACTCTCTGGCCAAAATGGGGAAACTGGGAAAACACTGTGACTGATTTCACACATTTTGGCAAGCAATGCTGAAACTTGGAAATCTTAGAACAAACGTAGGTTCTCGATGGTGATTTGCAGTAACCAAACAAGCCACATTCACTGTGCTTCTGGTTTTCAAACATATTGACCAGCCATTCCTCCATGGTTTGTCGTCGTGTGAATAGGGCCAGTCGCACGGGAAGAAGCACTAATTCCGTCTGCTAAAGTGAGAAATCCATCAACTAACTCCCACTTTGTGTGAAATGTCCTCCTTCGGCAATTATCTGGCCCACAGATATCCAAACAGCACCCTTAGTCCATCTCCCAACTAACATCTGTACACATCTCACTTGAGGAATTACTAGGCATAAGAACACAAAGTCCCTGCTGGATCAGACCCGAGGTCCGTCTGGTCCAGCATACCATAAACGTGGCAACCCAGCTGCTCACAGGATCCTTCAAGCAGGGGGAGTACACGACTTCCTCCTGCCCAAACTCCTCAGCAACTGTTCCCTGACAGCAACCATCAACTCAATCTGCCCCTTTCCCTGGTGTGAGCAGGGCCTTCCAGCCTCACTTGCCCTGAGGAGGAAGATGGAGATGGGTATAACGCTGAGGGTACAAATTTACATCCAGCAGAATCAAACGATACAACTTTTCCCAGACAATACACCTTCATGTGTGGGATGGAAACATAGCTGGGTTGGCTGACCATATTACGGAAGGGGCTCCGGAGCAGAAACCCTACAGAATCTCCCCGGAACGCTTTCTGCCCCCTCTCTGCCTCACAAATGCAGCCCCCTGGGCATGCACTACCCCTCTGCAGTGGTGTGGCTAGACCTGGTTCCTGGGGCAAAAACCCAAGCCCATGTGGTCCAAGGGAGCAGCCAACTGTATTTTATTGTATGCGTGATATTTATTTATTTGTAAGCCGCCCTGAGGCTTAGGCGAATGGGGTGGCATATACGTCTGCAAAATAAATAAATGACAAGGGCATCTAAGCAGCAGGCAAGGGCTGCACAGCAAGCAACTTCGTGTGCCTTTCACAAGGTGCACTTTTTTTGCCTGGACATACCTGGCAATCCAGGGGTCTCTACCATCCTTGCTCAGTGTGTCCCATCAGCCCCCATGCCCAAACTTCAATCCCACGCTTTCCAGGGCACAATGTGGTAGGACTGTGGAAACCACAGTGCCAGGTTTAGATGAACAGAGAAACCACGGTGAAGCATGGAGACCATAGAACAGACTGCTGTTTCCTAATGCGGCTTCTGAAAACTAAGTGAGCAGTGCGGAAATGCCATGTGAGGGACCTGACAGCCCCACAGACCATCCTGTGCAAGAAACCACCATGACTGCTCATGTTGTGCAAACCCACCCATGAGGTAGGCACAACTGTAGATATGACTTAAGTACCAAACTGCACATTCTCAAGATGCTTTTTTCTGCAAGGTTAGCGATTGTGCGGTCATCACTGATCAGGAATGTGGAAGCAGCTTTCAATTACAGAATGGTGGTTGGAGAAAGAGAAATAAGTTGATGTGCTTCATCACAGAAACAATATTTTAATTATTATTAATTAGCACAGTTGCTGGTTATTATCTGGCACCCATTAGCTGCAGCTCTCTGGGCAGTTTTCAGAACAACGCTTAAAACCAGTAAACATAATAATATGGTAAACAAAATAAAAACATAAGTTTGAAACAGATTAAAACTGAGTAGGAACCAAGAGAAAAACCCACAGGAGAGCAAAAATCTGAAAGTGCTTTATCAAAAAATTTTGAGGAGGAGAGATAAAAATCCTGGGAAAATCAAGAGGTCTTACCTGGCACAATAGATGCCAGGAGAGTCTTTCTAGGAAAGGCACTCCAAGCATACATGGATCCATCTCGGAGCCCTTGGAAGGCCTTTAGGGGCATGGCCCAATGTGTGTGGGACTTTTTCCATCTAAGCATCTCCCAAGCACCCTGAACTAGCCTAGAGATGCAGGAGTTTGCCCCTAAGTCCCGGGTTTAAAGTTACTTAGCTGCATTACTGCCCCTCCTAAACTGCCAGGTTGCTCACGGCTCTGCTTCTCCAGCCTCCTGCTCTCTGCTTTAACTCTCTTCACCAATGCCATGAGCAGCTTGCCAGGAAGAGCAGACAGGCACCGTCTCTCTTTGTCTGCTCCTTTTTCCGGCTGCCTGCAGAGGAAGCATCAGCCTGAAGCAGCCCACTGCCTTCCCTTCCTAAGGATGCCCCTGAGCCTTGCGTGGGAAGCTGAGGTGCCAGCTGCTAAAGGTCTTTGCCTTGCCCGAGAGCCATCTCAGCCGCCAGACGGAACCCGGCAGGGGTCTGCATGAGCCATTCAGCCTTCTGCCTGGCGGCCTCAAGGTGCCCAACAGACAGTCAGGCGCACTGTGGCTCCAGAACCCCTTTCCCCTCCCCTCGGTCCTCCTGTGGGTGCCCCAGGAGAGAGTGCGAGAGCACCCACGTTCCCTCTGCTCCGCCACAGCCACAGGCGGCTGTCTGCTCAGTGCAGCTTGAGATCCCCGAGTGGGGGTCTGAGATGGAAAGGGGGGGTCTTGCCACCACAGAGAGGCTAGAAGGAGCCCTTCCGGCAAAGCGCAGCCTTGCTTTGCAAGGAGCTGTCCAGTCCCAAGCCTGGACCTCATATTTGACAGATCTTTCCAATGCAGGGAGAAATGTTCATCAGCCACCTGTGCTAGGCACCGGGTGCTGTGTGTGTGTGTGGGGGGGGGGGGCTGCCAGTTCTGGCCAGGGGTCACCTACTGTGGACACTATGCCAGGATCCCTGATATCTAACCAACCTGCCCAGTTTGCACAAACCTAGCTGCCCAGTTCAGGGCAGGATATAAGGGGCACAATTATTTGCACAGAGTTACACACCTTATTGTGCACAAATCAAATCAAAGGAGGGTCCACAGGCAGCCCCTCCAAGGCACTGCTGGGGTCCATGGAGAGGAACTTTGTGAATGCCCCCATAGGGATCATGGAGGAGGACATGACAGCCCACTTGCGGGATCTCAACACAATCCTTTTCGGGGGGAGGGAAGTCTTTCTCATTACACCCCCCCCCCCCACAAGTGCCACTACAGCAGTTCTGCTAATTGTCCAATATCCACTTGACCAAAGCAGGCCAAGTAGCATTGCTGGTTTTTCACTTGACCTCCTCCTGTTGTGTTGTCTCATTTTGGATGACACAATCATGGAAGACCAAGCAAACCCTACAACAAGCCATGGCTTGTTCGGGTGGGTATTACACCGGGTTTGGACAACACTCTAAGCCATGATAATGACAGGTGCCTGGGGCACCCTGGTGTTTGTCTAGCTTTGTCCTTGAATGTAGACCATACTCCCCCAACCAGGAACCCTTCAGATATGCTGGACTGCAACTCCCATAATCCCCCCTTATGCCCCAGAGGCATGGAAAAGGATGTTGTAGACTGGATACAGTCTTGGGACAAGGCGGTGAGAGAAGAAAGCTGCTGGTGATCTTCCCAACTCACAGGAAAAAGAGCAAAAAATGAATCATTGCCTAAAATCTAGGATCCTTTATTGAGAAAGCCTCAAGTTCGGCAAGGGATTTTCTATCTGCAACTGTATTTTTCCAATATTTATTTATTGATTTGTTTATTTACAATGACTCTGTACCATTCCCCATCTAGACAGGTTCTGGAGCAGTGAACAATCGAAAGTTAAAAGAATAAAACACAAAATTAAAACAGTGCTTCCATCAGAACAAGGAAAGCCCTTCGGAGTCAACCAAAGGTGGCTTCCTGACATAACTGTGTTTTCAGGAGGTGGTGAAAGCTCCCCTGTTGGTACTTGCTTGCTTACTTACTTATTACATTTATATACCACCCCAATAGCCCAGAGGGTTCTCTAGGTGGTTTACAAACATTAAAACCCCACCGATCCTAAAATAAATAAATTGACTACACCACAACTGAGTATAAAATAACATGGTTAAAATGAATTAAATAAATAAATATACAATTAAAATTAATTAACTTTAAAAGATTGGTTAAATAAAAAGGTCCTGACCTGGCACCAAAAAGCATATAATAACGGCACCAGGTGGACCTCTCTAGGGAGCGCATTCCAAAGTCGGGGTGCCACCACAGAGAAAGCCCTCCTCCAAGTGCTCTGTCTCCTGACCTGTTTCAAAGAGGGTTCCGGGAGGAGGGCCTCTGCTGACGATCTTAGGGTCGGGAGGGCATATAGGCAAAAAGGCGTTCCTTTAGGTATCCTGGTCCCAAGCCATTTATGGCTTTATAGGTAATAACCAGCACCTTGAATTGAGCCCGGACTTCAATGGGAAGCCAATGGAGCTGATAGAGGACTGGAGTTATGTGAGAATAACGACCAGTCCCTGACAGCATCCTGGCAGCTCTATTTTGCACAATCTGAAGTACCTGGACTGTCTTCAGGGGCAGCCCCATGTACTTGCCCCACCTCCAGAGGCATGGAGTTCTGCAGACCCACCTCACTGAAGATCCTTCTCCAGGTGGACTCCAGCTGGGCCATACCGTACAGAACCACCAGGAGCACGGCGTGAGATGCCCTCAGCACTGGTAAGGGGCTCTCCCAAGCATCTCCCAGGCTTTCTGGGCTTCTCCTGCAAGCCTTGTTGCTGTCTCCCTGTCCCTACCTTGCCTCCTCCCCTCGCCTGCTTTTGTGAGATTCCAGTGGAAAGTGGGGTCTTGATTTGTGTAGGCAGGAAAGGTGGGGACAGTGCCGAGCTCTAATTGCTTCTTGGTTGCCTTTCTTTCCAGTTCCTTGCAGTGATTAGTCCTCATTCCTTAGAATGT